ACCGATTGTGAAGAAAGGTTTCTGCATTCAAAGTAAGCAATCACTTTAGTCGTTTAGGAAAAATATCACATCGAATTAGCAAGTAAGAACCCCTCGTCACCTACTTATAGAATTCTTATACGTGAAAGTTTTACTAGATTCTGAACCCCGATATTATGTGTTTTGTTTGTTATGAAGGATTAACACATACAGAGCCATCATGTCCAAGCATTTGATGGCCGAATCACAATGATTAATGGGACCACTGGCTTTTAAAGTCATCAAACTGCATTTCGTGGTGTTGAAAGGATTTAGCCTGCAGAACTCGAGGAATCGGCTCATTCAAAGGAATCAAAACATCCAAGGTCTTTTAAGAAATGATAACATGAGAAGATGTACAAAAAATGGACTAATTGCATTCCGAAAAAAATAACAGTTTTATTGATTTCTGAACTGGGCTAGGGGCAACACGGAGGTTCCCAAACAATAAATGTCGCCTTCATGAAAAGTACACTAACTCATTAAAAAATTGCACCGGCACAAGTATGTAGATCAGGTGCTCAAAAATTCAAACCATATGTATCCGAAAAATCAAGCTCTTTGATTGCTTTTGCACAACTTTCAGAGATCCCGTTTATTTTAATTAACCTTTGGACTAAAATGAGGCGAATCATTAGAATTCCATAGTATATGACGGCGTAACAAAACGGACTAAGAACACCATAACACATTTCCAATGTGGCAAGTAGTTTCAATGTTTTGCGAAAGAGTAACATAATAGTTAGGAAACATTTTCGCAGAAATGGCAAATCATTTCAATAATTTAAAGGAATTTAATCGAAGATTAGAGGCTCCACAAGATGACACATAGCATTCACAGAACCGCAAACGGTTGACTTGAAAAGCTACTGAATTATCTAGCACGAAATTTAAGATTGGAAGTCTTTTGGTACAATAAAACTCATTCCCTGCGTGGACAAGGCTGAATCATTTCTCAACCGCTGCAGCATGACTGCGAAGGTAAACGAAATATAAAGAAGACCAGTCTCACTTAGAGTAGGTAAGTCTTTATGATCCTTTGGGCTGGAAGCTGGGAGTCAGTGAAGACCAATTAGAAAAAGATCTTAAATGGTTTTGTCCCAAAATGAATGGCATTTTCATTGTTTCCCATAAGTGGTAAATCCTCCCGATTCACAAGTTATTTATGGAACTAACGCGTCAAAAACAAGACCACAGGCAGCCAATTGATTAAACATAGGATTCCAACGGTCATTACCTGCTTCTCCTTTGTTCTCAAACAAATTTGCAGGGTTCATGGGCAATACAAACACATTACGTCAGGTTACCCCGTTCGAAGTTCTCAAAATAAATAACTGGCAATTGTTCTGTCACTGGGTGTGCTAAACATCCGCTAACCTCTCCAAATTCCATGCACGGTTGTATGCTCACGATCAGATTCATTCGTGACTTTCACTTAATAATAGTCAACGTCCGTTAAATTTGAGGGTAGACCTTTAGTAACGGATGACCGTAATCTAGTTGAGTGTATATATTTTGTTAAGCAATCAACACCATATACTCTACACACCACTTGGAAGGCCTCACTAAAAATCTCGCCCTTAACCAATTAAAAGCGCGAAACGTGGGGAATTTTTGTCCATTACGTTTGATGATGATTACAACCCTAATGTAACGGCTGCAAAAGGTTCAAGCGCTTAGATTCTTTAGCGTTCATAAGGTCAAAGTAAACCTCCAGACATCGAGAGAAAGTCAAAATGTTCCTGACCATCTTAGGTATTTGCTTTAGCGTGAGTGGGGTAACTTTTCTCAAACACAATATCGGCGAAGACCGTATCAAGGCCGTGAATGAAATGAAAGCAGCAATTCAAAGGTATCTAGACCAGATTGCGGTGCACAGCTGGTTTACTCAATTGCTGCGTGTCTTTCATATTGCGTCCTACTGCAAGTTCATCCCCTCTGCAATCACATTCTTATCAAGCACACTTTCGTCGGCTGAGGCTTGTCACAGCACATTCGTAGTGAAAACATCGGCGACACATTGTGCCACGTGCCACTATCAGCTATCCGCAAATTTATAATCCAGCCGATAACCAAACCCAAGCTCTCGCATTTCGTGTACATACTAGCAGACTATAGAAACAGATTTCAGGATACCGTGGACATAGGTCTCTTAAAACTGCTTTCACGGACATTTACGGTGCTCGATTTCCTTTAACAAGCACGAGTGCTTCTACCTTGATTTCTGCTTTTGCAATCTTTTTCCCTTGGTGGACATTTAAAACCCTCTGTAAAAGTTGGTGATTCGATGCAACGAGCTTCAAGCGTTAACTGTCACACAAGAAAGCTTGATGTGGGAAAATAGAGACACTAGAAATATCGCGGAGACCTGTCAAAAGAAACTTGCCCATAGAGCCTTATTTCATGATGATTGGCAGCTGTGCCTCCCCCTTACCTTACAATGATTCCCCCACACAGTTAACCATGTTCATTCACAACGGGCCAAAACGCGAAATAGGCCAATTTGTCAGCCACTACTGGAAACCTCCTAACACTAGAACATCACGGAAATGTGAAGAGCTGCTGTATTAAAAGCAAGCAAACGGCTTTCAATCCACTGTGAAGCGCGACAGTGTGGTTGAGAATGATGTGATTTTGCTCAGATTTTCACTGATTTCAGGCATGTCCACTACCAATTCAGTTTCACCCATACGCAGCACTAATTGCTGATCGCACAAGTTTAATCTCTTGTTAGTAGTTAGTGTGGATGTTAACGGGAAATAGGGATGCTACGTAGCTTCATAAACATTGCTGCAAGTATCTTGCATGTCCTATTATAGGTTTGAGCCTTATTAGGAAAGTAAAGGTATTATTTAATTGAGCGGAATAATTCTGACAGCGACGTACCTCGCGGGCTTTGGTTGACCCATTACGCGAACTTTGATATTGCAGTAAGTGACTCGAGGAAAGTGTCCACTGGTGTCCCATTCCTCGCCTTTCGTCAGATCCTGCAAAAGATGCAGTCCGAAGAATGTGCTGTTGAAACCAGTGAAGCATTTCATTAGGTAGATCTGGCCTAAGGAGTTGGCGATGAAGAGCCCGCGGACGAAGAGGAAGAGGACAGTGAGTCGGGCGTTGGGGGCGATGCCGCAGAGGCATCGATTGACAAACGACTTCATCCGCCGGAAGCGAGACTGCGACTCGGCTTGCTCCTCTAGGGTCGCCACGAGGCAGGAGACAGCCTTGAGACGAAGCTCGCGGTCTGGAATAGAGGCCTCTTTGGCCGACTTGAGCAACAGGGGCAGACGACGAGAGCAAACTCGCCAGAGGAGATGGGGCACCCAGGACATCATTGCCTGGCCAGCCAAGACGATGGACATCCACTGGTAGTAGCCGATGAACTTGATCTTTTCGTATTCCAGCTCCTCGACTGGGATGTCTTCGTGGGGAAGAAGGAAGTACGTGTTGGAGACCCAGCAGTAGTTCTCTGTGTATTCCTCCCAAGCTCGAGTGAATTCTGGCGGAACCCAGCATTGGATTGGTTTACCTGGACGTAAAAAATAACGAGGTATGCAAACTGCAACAGAATATGAAAGTGGCATACAAGTTTAGTTTCATAATTTTTAACATTGTTTGTGATTTTTAAAGTAGTAGACACGGAAAAACTCAGTGTCACCCAAGATTAACAATGGGAATGGTTCTGAAGGTTTTTACAGCTGATTTCTAGCATTTGTTTCATCAAGTAATTTGTAAATCATTAAATGGAAAAATAAGTTTTGATGAAAATTGGCAATTAACATTCGGAGATATCTCTCCACCACACCAGACAATTGACACACAGAGTTTAAATGCCCTTATGTTAAAATGGGGCCATAAGATTAATTTACGTACCCTATTTTACAAAGTTAAAACGCGTGATGACACACAGAAATAAGATGCCATTTAGCTCGCAACTTTTGTGGGATTTGCATGAATGAATAAAATATATGCCTCACGTGAATATTTTTTCGAAGGATACATAACAATTCTGCCTGCTACTCGAAGTCAACGAAAATGGTGTTTGCTCAGGCGCGTTATTTTCCGGGACAATTTGTCACAGCAGCCGTGGGTGTTTTTTGAGCGTTGGCAGCTAAGTGCCACTTGACAAATGCTGGAATTCTTGCATCGCACGTCTGATTTGAGATTTTTCACTTACTTATTATGTGCAACTTTCGTCTCTACGATGGTGGCCCTAATTGTGGCCGAATTTTAGACCAAACCCGGAGATTAAACCTTAGAATGAAGATTTGCAAAAGATTCATAAAACACAATACTGAATTGAAGAATCTCAAAAGCTTTGATGTAGCCTAGGCAGTAGTTTTTCACCCAGTCGACATTTGAAACCCATTATTTAGATTCTACAACCCGTTTTAGTGTTCACTTTTACCGCTAAATTCCATCATCTTTTTTAAAAATGCATTCTAATGTTACGGGAAGTGACCATGTTCCTAGCGAGGGTCACATTCGTTTGCAGCATTTCCGCTCAATTTAAATTCGTGATTGCTAAGGTATATTTTTACCAATCCCGACGAAATAATACACATCACAGGCTTATAACAGCGATCCAAATTTAGCCATTTTCAAATAGTGAACTCAAGATCGGAACAATTTATAAAGAATAAAAATTTTACCTTAAAGGCCAGACATATCAAAGGAAATGAAAGTGTCGATTAAAATCCTCTGATAGGTATGAAAAAACCAGCTTTGACTCTGTCTATTCGAGGTGCTTAAATACATCAATTAATTTATATTGGCAACAGTAGCAATGCTATAACAAAATCATCCACTAGATGCATAAAACTGGTATTCCAGAATTGTCCGGAAATATGAATCAACGCGCTTATATGTATTGCTGCGATGCTACCGTACTATTCTTGTGGTTTCTAATGATGTAAATTGCCAGAATTATAATGGATTTCATTTCTAATAAGATAACCTTCCATTTAGAAATTTGGCTGCACAAAACTTTGGTTCGCACACGAGAACAAAGTTGATTCTTGCGAATGTCAGTTTTCCTTCTGACATCTGACAGATGTCACTTTTAGATTGCTCAAGAAACTAGATGCTTGCACGTAATGCAGTCGCCAGTTTTGTGCCACGATCAACACCTATCGAAGAAGACATAAATTTACGCTTCTTTTGGTAAGAAGCAAGAAGGTGTCTACCACTGATACCTTATCTGCTCATAAAACGTATTTAACGTCTGAATTGTTTGTATCTCGCGGGCAAATCTGATTAACCAATCGATTGCGAGTGTTCGTTGTGGTGATCAGCTGTCGAAACATAAGTGATTCAAAATGCATTTCGGTGAAAAGAAAGCGACGGCACCACTCACTGCTGCGTTCGTTGAAAAAATTTTAACAATCGGAGTGAAGAGAGGACAGGAAAGTCATAGTATTAGAGCTAATCCGGAATGTAATGTACGCCCAAGACAACATGCTACAATTACACGGCAATTTTGCATTCAAGATTTTCGGAAACTCATTTTGTGATTTTGAATAAAAGGATCACTTTAAGTGGGTGATGTCAAATGGCCGCTATCAAAAAACACCTTCGAAGATTTCCTCTTTACCTTCAACTATGACTATGTAATGCATGGTATGCCAGCCAGTAAAAGCTTTTGGCTTGTGTGTGTGGAGTTTCCAATAAATGGCCTTTAGTTACACATTCACAGGAGAACATTGGTGGTAATTTCAACAAGGAGATCGACATTAACACTATTGCGAATGAAATCGACTTGCAAGATACCTAACGCTGACCAATCAAGATTGACGACCGAGAAAGCACTTCATGCAAATGTCTTACAACGCTCCGAAAAATAAAAGAATGTAAAAAAAATAGTTCCCTATTCTTTTTCAGAGACAATAACCTGATACATCAGTTTTTACGGCCTAAACACTTTTTTCTACTTTTTTTTCGAAAGTACTTGTGTGTGACACTGTAGGCTCTCAGACAATGAAAGAAGTAAAGATATTTGAATTTAACACTCTTCTCGAGCTACTCCGCCAAACACACACATCGGCGACCGTTTTGGGTTGACAAAGAATAGTCAGCAGACGGGAAGAGCATGGAGTGCTTTGTTTAGCAGTCGAGAAAACGCACCATAACAGAAGCGTGTTACTTGACAGTTACTCGAGGTTATTTGGTGGAAATCTGCGAAGCGACAGAGTGTTTTTTAACCTTTTAGGTTTAAAATTATTTTACCGGTGGTTATAATGCTAAAACTTGGCATCTAATTCGGTGAAAAGTGGATTTGGTTGTGTAGAATTACCATCACAGTATAGGATGTGTTGTGATTTCTGTCTAAGCCATTGTTTAAATCGAGACTGTACGTAACTCACGATGTGGCATGTGATTCGGCAACATTGACTGAATGTGGGATATTGATCGTGCAGGATATTTCTCAAAGTAAAAAAAAGCTTTAGCGAAAAAATCATCACAAAGCGTTTTAAATCACATAAATCGGCTGGTACTACTAACGTTGATTAGATGCTTGACTTCATGTGCATTTCGTCAAAAAATTGACAAAATCAGTTTCTCACAAGGATCAACCGCAATACGACCGTTTTTACTGAAAAAAATACCAACACGTCAGTAGTTCTTCCGTTTTGCGAGTACAGTGTATGAAACGGCCGAGTGAAGTTTTCATGTTAAGCAATTTTTTCTCACACAAGACAATTCAGCCTTGCTAGAGGCTGTAAGAAGAACAAATTTTGTTTCTACTTCGATTGAAACTTGAGATACTAAATCCATCATAAATGAGGTGATTTGAGTTGAGATAGGACGTGCAGAGGACTCTCGACATGGAGTTGACATCCTAACCTTATCGTTTCATTTCTAGTAACTCTTTTTAAGCACTCGTCTTGTTTAAAGGAAGCATACACCTAACAGCTTAGAAAACGGTTTCTGACAGTATTTCAGACAAGTTAAATCTCAATAATCTGCAGAATCACGAGCTTCAAAATAAAAAAGGCCTTATCCAGCACGATTTTGGTACCGAACATGAGAAATAGAGTTAATTAAATAAATATAGGCTGATTTTCATAGTGGTTTGAGAGGATGGAAAAAAGAATTTGTAGCAGAAGGCTGTGAAAAGACATTTTTCAGTAACAAAAAGTACAGCTAATCGGTGCTGACGTTCTATTTAAATCCTCTTTCCAAGCACAAGAGTTACCGTCATTCGAGGCTTGAGAATAATGAAATCACTAATCCACTATTATTGGTGGGTCCACACGCTTTGAGACTTGCTACTGCCAAACAGTGAAACAGAGATTTTGGCAAACGGTGAACTTGGAGTGGTTCATGGCTGAAGAAACATCATGAGTTTTTTCTGTGCTAAAACGAGGTGCCTGTTTGAGGAACAATCAGAAGTCGAAAACGCAAGAGGTCTGGCCGGGTTTGAAGCTCACTGTGAACTTATTACACTTCAAACCTGCTTCAAAAAATGCAGATATTAGGGCAATTCACATCCTGCAATAGCATTCTCCATTCAAACCTGTTCAGTTGTTGTGTAGACAAAACTGAAATCGAACGAAATCTTCCACATTGCAAGTTGGTTCACCATTTCTGGGTTAAGCTATTGGATTAGTCTGACTGCTTAGTATCGTTGCAACGTAGTTAAATACGATTCGGAAAGCAGGAAAACGGATGCTACTCACTTAATCGATAGCAGAAAAATAAGTATGCAAAAATTTCTTACACAGGACTGCCTGATATAATAATTAGAACAGCAGGTGGAGAGGTTAGCTTAAAAGATATGCTGTGTAAGTCGACCACTAACAAAAATACTCGACTCGAATGCAACGGTAACCTTCGCATGCGATTGAGCGTTCAGATCCTGTCCACTAATTGGGCTAACTCGAGCAACGAAGCTTCAGGCTAGCGCACTACTTAGGCGGGTGTTCATCTAGGGAATTAATTTCAGACCGAGCCTGTGGCCTTTAAACTGCGCGGCGGCGAAAATTGTTTTAGTCAGAGTAAATCGTTTGGGTGTCCGCACCACTGCCAACATTGGAAATGATGCTTCGGAGTGAAGCGGAGACGTTTGCGCTGATGCCCGTGAGGCCAACTCAACCACGATGCCAATTCTCGACACTATCCCTCTCAATAACGACCTCAAGCATCGCATTCAAACGTCAGTCATGTTGGAGTTAATTAACGAATCACGTGAACTTGTTTCGTGGTGGGTTTTTTTTGCGAAAAAGTCATAGTATAATGGAAAGCCCTACCCTAGTGCAGTGGGACACGAGAACTAATTAACGTCGACAACCAGTGCGGTCGGTGTCTGTTTACGGAAAATCAAATAAAATGAGTTTTAACTTGGACACTTCTAAGATTTATCTGAGCCCCTTAAAACCAGTTTTAATGATATAAAAGTTGAAAACTCAAATTTTTTTTTTGAAAATGATGTTTTTGAACATCATTTGTTTGTCCTAAATCCCGGGATATTTACACCCCGGATTTTCTCTGATAGCGATGATGCATTTACAGCACACAGAAACGGAGAAA